ATGTAAAAGACTCAAGATATTTCTCATACATGTACCAAATGTCCACAATAAATGTAAACTTAAATGTCATAAGCATGTTTTTTTAAAAAATCCTCAATAAGATACTAGCAAACAGAATTCAACAAATCATCAAGAAGATTATACACCATGAAAAGGTGGGACTTATCCCAAGAATGCACGGATGTTTCAACATACACAAAAAATTAATGTAATACACCATATCAATAGATCCAGAGACAAAAATCACATTATCATCACAGTAGATGCAGACAAAGCTTTTCATAAAGTCCAGCACTCACTCATGATAAAAAAAAGCCTACAGAAAACTGGAATAGATGGTATATATCTCAATCTGATAAAAGACATCTATGAAAAAGCAATCACCAATATCACACTAACTGGACAAAAAATGAAAGCTTTCACTCTAAAATCAGGACAAGACAAGGATGTCCACTATCACCACTCTGTTTCAAAATAGTTCTGGAAACATTAAATGGAGTAATTAAACAAGAGAGAGAAATAAAAGGAATAAGAATAGGAAAGAAAGAAGGGAAATTATCGCTATTTGAAGATTACATGATACTCTACATAGAAGACCCAAAAAATCTACCAAAAGACTCCTAGAGTTAATAAACAAATTCAACTGTATGGCGGATACCTACAGAGTGTTTCATCCAACAAAAGCAAAATACATATATATTTTTCTCAGCAGAACATGGATCTTTCTCTGAAATATGCCATGTCTTAGGGAATAAACCATGCTTAAATAAAAGAATTGAGATAATATCTTACATCCTATTGGATCATAATGAAATATAGTTGAAAGCAAATATAATGAAAGCAAAGGCAAAGGACACCACAGAAACTATACAAACACATGGAGATTAAATGATAACCTTGTGGAAAAATAGTTTTCCACAGTAAAACATAGGGAAACAAATTTGAAAGATCCAAGAATTAAAAGATGATGGCAGTACAAAATAATCTATGGAATAAAATTAAAAGAGTTCTAAGATAGATAGCCATAACTATGAATACCTACATTAGGAAAATAGTGATACTAAATGAATAACCTAATAATGCTTTTCAAAGTCCCTCCAAAAGTAAGGTCAATCCAAATAAAAAAAACTTGTAGAAGGAAAGAAATTTCCAACAATCAGAATGAAAATTAATAAAATTGAGAATATAAAACAATGCAAAAGACCAATGAAACAAAGAGTTGGTTCTTTCAATGGAAAAACAAGATTGATAAATCTTTGGTCAATCTTAACAAAAAAGAAAGAAAATATTTATATCAATGAAATTATAAATGAAATCACAGAGGGTACCACCAAAAGGCTGAGTATTAAAAGAAACTACTTTGAAAATGTGTCTTCCATTAAATTGGAGACTCTAGAACAAATGGATAAACTCCTAGATATATGAATTACCAAATCGAATCAAGAATAATCCACAAACAAAAATAAATGAAATAGAGGCAGGAATGAAAACCTTACCTTTTGACAATGGTAGGGTTTTCATTTTTGTCCATTTAGTGTGATGTCTCAGGGCCCACTGGATTTACTGCTGCATTTTACCAAAATGGCAAGAAAGATCTAGCACTAATATTACTAAACTTTTCCATAAAGTTGAAAGGGAAGGAACACTGCTGAACTAGAGAACTCCAGAATGGCCAAAACAATAGTGAGCAAAATGAACCAGGCCTCGTGGAGCACATCTGTAATTCCAGCTTTTAGGAGGCTAAAGCAAGAAGATCGCCATGAATTCCAGACCTATCTGGCCAACACAGCAAGTTCAAGGCCAGCCTAAATTACACAGCAAGACTTTGTCTCAAAAAATTTTTTAAAAAGGGGGCCAGGGATATAGTTCAGTAGTGCAGTGCTTGCCTGGCAAGTGTGAGGTACTGAATTTGATCCCCAGTCACCCCTCCAAAAAAATTTTAAAAGTACTGTACAACAAGCACAAAGCAGGACCCATTACAATCTTGGATTTCATGTTACATTATGAAACCAAAGTAATAAAAACAGCATGGCACTGTCACAAAAGCAGACATGTTGAACAGTGGAGTAGAGTTAGGGATGTGGAAATAACCAAAAGCATATTCAGCCACCTTAGATTTGAGGAAGGGGTCAATAATATATGCTGGAGAAAATATAATGTTTTTTTAACAAATGGTTGTGGGGAAAAATGTTTACATACAGAAGATTGAACCTAGATGCATATCTCTCAACCTGTACCAAAATAAAATTGAAATGGATCAAACAATGAGATATAAATTAGAAACACTGAATCTGTTGCGAGAAAAAGATTTGTAAAATTCTTGAAGACATAGACATAGACAATGACTTCCTGAACAGAACTCAAATTGTACAAAATATAATAGCAAGAATCAACAAATGTGATTATCTCAAGTTGAAAGGCTTCTGCACAGCAAAGGAAACAACAAACAGAATAACAGAACAATCTGCAGAATGGGAAAAAATTGTAAGTTACTGCTAGGACAAAGAACTGATATTAAGAATATATAAAGAACACCAAAAAATTAGAACCACAAAATTAAAGCACCCAATGAAAATGGGCAATTGAAATGAATAGATACATCTCAAAAGAAGTACAAATGGCCAATAAGTACAAGAAAGAATGTTTAGCATCTTGGTCTTTAGAGAAACAAGAATCAAACAACATTAAAATTCTGTCATAGTCCAATAAAAAAGGCTATCATCAAGGGATCAAAAAGCAAAAATGCTGGTGAGGTTTTGGAGAAAAAGGAACCAATATAAATTGTGATGTAAACTAGGTCCACCATTGTGAAAATCAATATTGAGATTCTTCAAAAAATGAAATTTCTTTTGACCCACTTATATATTTTTCTGGATATCTTGTAGAAAGAGTTAAAATAATCACACAAATAACTATGCTTATATGACTATAATTCACCATAGTTAAATTATGAAAGTGACCTATAAGCCCATCAACAGATGAATAAATAAGAAATGGTATGAATGGTATACAGTATATACTCAGTGCAGTACTATTCAGCCCTAAAGGATAAATTTAAGTCATATGTAGGAAAATGGATAGGTCTTGATAATATATGCTAAGTGATATAAATCAGATACAGAAGGTTAAATATCACATGGTTTCTTTAATATGAGACACCCCAAAATAAGAAATAATTAGAAATAATTAAAAGTGCAAAATAAAAGACAGATGGTAGGAAACAGGGAGGTAGACTTTAAGGAGATGGGAAAATGATCAGGGAAAGGGGTCAGAGAGGAATGCGAAGGTGGGTAAAGGGAAAGGAAAAATGGTCAAACGTGATATGTATATGTAAGAATTCCCCAAAATGATGCAATTCCCATGTATTACAAACATACAGTAAAAGGCATACAAAATAACAGTGCTAAAGCAGAAAACAAAGCATATTTCTGCTGCAAAGCCACTCTAAACAGTGCAAATAAAAGTTTGTCTTCTTTTCTAAAACAAAATGGTCAGGTAATTTTGAGTTCTTTACCTTTTGCTTTATTAGGTAGGCCAAGAAAATATTCTAAGTGGGTTCTTCCCAAACCATCAGAAAAATTCCAAACCATGCTATGAGTGATAATACAAGATTATTCATTTTCAGGTGACTACTGTTCATCACTGAAGATCACCATCTATCGCAGCCCAGTGCAGAAAATCAAGCACGTTTTCTGGGGTTACAGCAGCATCATAAAATACATTAGACGAATGTCTACAGAGTCTGAAACATACCCTGTTTGCCTCTCTATTCATTTCTATTTTCTTAATAAACATATTCAGTATTCAGTTTTAGCTGCACAATCAACCACTGGATCATTCAAGATGTTATTTACAAGAAATAACAAAGGTATCCTGTGAGTAATCAATGTTAGAGTATTCTGCACAAGAGGTACTCGACTTTGCTTAGTTCTTCCCCCTTCAAGGGCTTCTCAATCCCTCTGTCTTCTTCCTATTTGGTGCCCCTGGCAAGAGGTAGACTCTCTCCTGTAGATATTCAGCCCTGTGTTCACATACATTATCACCTCATGGATAAATAAATTATGAGCAACCAATCATATAGATGTCAACTTTGGATGTTTCATCTGAAACATATCAAAATACCTCAGTAAATATTGAATAAGGCAAATTTCTTTCCATCTCTTACTTAAAAAAATTATTATAAAGGACAGTTTATCTGCATTAAAAATCCTTAAAATTTCGACTTTGTCAAAATAATAGCAATCTAATAACTAACTGGAAGTTCATGTGAGAAAAAGTGTTATGATCTCCCTTTACTTAAATTAAACAGCAACATGAATTGGATGCAGAACAAGGGGGAGGGGAAAGGGGAAGGAGGAAAATGGGGTTCTAAAAAAAGGAATGAAAGGAAAAAGTGGAAATAAAGCTTTTTTAAATAGGAAGGGGAAGAAGAGTTGAACAGAGGGGAGGGGAATGGGGAAAAAAGATGAATTGAGATATATTATGTACAGGTACAAATTCCCCGTGGTGAATATGATCATTATGCATGACAAATGTGTACCATTAAAAAAAACTAAAAAATTAAACAGCAACAAGAATTTTGATATAAACCTGAAAATTTTCTACTATTTTTAATATTTATCAATAATGAAACTATGTGTAATATAATATCAATGTTTATTTCTATATTTATACATTTTTATGGAAAGTAATATTATAAAATACCAATATTTTAAAAAAATACCTACATTGATTACCTTTTAGTAGTGGAAATACCAGTAATATTTACTTATTTTTAATATTTTTATGAATTTTCTACATTGATTACCTTTTAGTAGTGGAAATACCAGTAATATTTACTTATTTTTAATATTTTTATGAATTTTCCAGACTTTCTACAATAAGCATACAGGTATTCATCTTAAAATCCAAAAGGACATAGCTTTCAAAGAATTTAATCTGTTTAGCTTTTTATATTAAATTGACATTAGCTGTAGATATAAGCAAGCAATCTACCATACCTTTTAATTAAATGGGCTCGGCTGTTTACGTAGTTGGAGTCAAAAGAATAATTTTCAGTCTGCAATGACAAAAAGAAGATTTAAAAGGTTACACATATGATTCATGAGAAGAGTTCAAGTGTCCTACTGAAAGAAAATTTATTTTTACTGGGCAAGAAGCAATGAATAAATCTGAAACCAAAGCTATCATGTGGCAGAAAACTGAAGAATACTATCTGTGGAACTCAGGATGCTGTGGGGGAAGCAGCTCACCCCTGCACATCCCAATGGCCTAGACAAAAACATTCCCTAGAATATGGCTGGCTACTGACCGTGCAATAAACTTATGGAGAAGAGGCAATAAGACTTACAGTCATTACAGAAACTAATTGCTTCCCATTACCCAGTGGAGACAATTCTATATCCTTCAAATTGACTAGAAGTTCAAAAGGTATTTTTATCACTTGTAGATAATTAACATGTTAAAATATTTATTTCAAAGATATAAAAATGCAAGCAAGGCAATCCCCCACTGTGGATTTCAACATCGCACTTCCTTTTGTTTTCAGACATTTGCTCAACACTGGTTATGCAAGAAGGCCTTCATTTTAATCGCAGAAATAATGGCAAACAAGTATTATGCCTAAAACAAAGTGAAGGTCAGTCCACAGGGGGTTCCAAAGCCTTTCATCAGCAATGTGAAGTTAGCAAGCAAACCTCTGTTTCATTTCCTATCATTAAAACACTACTTTCTAATCCGGTTAGAGTAGACTACAGAGTAACAGCTTTACACAAGAAAATGCACAATACCTGTCAGATAAAAGAGACAGAAAAACAGTTTATATGTACTGAGGCTGGGTGTATTGAAGGTTATAGCCAAGAAGGGTTGGAAGCCAGGGAAAAGTCTACATTGAAGTAATTCAATGTTCTAGTGAAGTGGGTCTTAGGTCTTACATCTATCACTGAAGCACAACTCTGGTTGTGTGAAGTGAAAAATACCTCAACACATTTTCTCCACCCTCCTACCACTTCCAGCAAAAATCCCCACCATTCCCATCATTCCCAGGGACCTTCTGCAATCGCTTTAATTCAAATTTCCTGGAAAAATAAACATAATATTTGTCTATTGCACAAAATAACAGATTCTGTTCAGACCACTGCTTGTCAGACATTAATTGCACTATGCTTTTAGATACAGTCTTTGCTTTCACAGAATTCAGTTTGACAGAGAAGAAAATGAGATGGGTTACAGCATATTCAACTACTACATGGGCACTAAATAGGCCACAGTCAAGGTAAATATCCTAATGCCCAGGAAGAATATTTAGGAAGTGGGCAATGCATAAGTGAAAGAAAATTTTGAGAAGGAACCTAACATCCAACAGTGGCTGGTATTGAATCATGCCTGTCTATGCCTGTCTATGCCCCTTACACCCCTCATTTAAAGACAGACTGTATAATAAATACATTCATGTTACTTTTATCTCAAAGTTTATGCAGTCTTTAATATAAATCACAACTAAGTTTTGGTGTTGTTGAAAGAAATAGCTTTGGAGAGTAAAAATCAAAAGAATCATGTCATTTCTAATTTGTTCCTAAGAAACTCAATGCTGAGCTTTATGGAACATAATTACAGTAGGAGGCAAACTTGAAGCTGTATTGGGAGGACAATCAAAGCATTTACTGGAATAGGTTATTCATCATTCAATCAACAAACATTTTTGAGTTAATTCATAATAGGCAAAAAATGATGTTGGTGATATGTGCTCTTTTATAATACTCAACATAGTATGTTATTTTAAATGGAATTCCCTAACTCCCTAACAATCATTTTACCTTGTTAAAATAGAGAATTTATTACCACTCAGCAGTTGACTTATTTCATCATGTAACTCTAGGTAAACTAATTAATTTCCATATGCCTCAATTTTCTTCTCTCTAAAATACAGATAGTAGAATGTGAATCCAAAGGACAATTTCAACTACATTTATTATAACTCATGGTAGGAATCCCTATCCATTGCATTCTACAGAATTTGAAGCCTCAATTAGAATCAGGAATTTCACCTCATTTGGGCAATGAAACAATAGCATATGCATGTTCCATATTACTTTCCAAACTTCCTAAATCATTTTTGCAAGAAAGGTGGTAGACAGACATACTGATACAAAAAAATCTAGAGGAAGTTAGCTTTGCAAGTAACATCCCTGGCATGTTTTTAAAAGCCACTTTTCAAAAGAAAATTTACATGGTTTTGCATGTGAAGTGTCCAACTTCTTTGAATTGTGTTTTAAATGTGGAACTCTGTGAAAACCTGGCATCCAGGCATGGTATCAGTGCCACATGTTTGGGCAAAAAAGAAAAATCACACAAATGCTATGTCTGATGACTGTACTTCTTGGTTCTTATGGAATAATGTATCTTCCCAGGTTAACTCACACTTTCAGTAAATGGCCTACAGGGCTTGCGTATAATGACTGTAACAATTTTCCCTAACTCTCCAGAACACAAGTTAGATTACCCTGGGCAGATGTACCAGGCATGATTTGCTACTGTAGGTAGAAGCGTATCATTGAATATTATCATCTTCCTGTGTTTTTCTTTATTTATTTTAAAAAATAGCCCACTTTTATGGATCATGTCCTTCAAGTATAAAAATTCTGTTCCTCAGATCAGCACAAACCATAATGGTACAATGGCCTCTGCTTCATCTTAATGCAATCAGTAGCTCTAGTCTATGATGCAATTTCCTAGAACCAACTTTCCCAGAGTGAATCAAATTATACTGATTTGCACACTGCCTTTGTTCCCTTTAAAATCAGCTTCAGGTCTCCTTATTAGACACCTTTGCTGCAGATATGGGAACAACATCGGCAGTGGAATCATTCTACTTGGATAGAATACACTAGTCTGGCCTTGTTAGTAGTGCATTCCAAAAACTGAGTTATCTGGTCATAGATAGCCTACTGTATCATGGGTCTATATTTACTGAAGTCAAGTATTATAGTTCATTTGATTCTAGGTGTGTGCTCAAATCCAAATCATGTGCACTGAAAGACTGAATTTCTCACTTCTTGTAGAGCCAAAATGAGACTCAAATCATCCTGCCAAAGGAAACTTATTTAATTAATACTTTTAATATTAGGCCAGTGGTTCTCAGCCCTAGGTGCACATAAGAATAATCTCAGGGAGTTTAAAAAATACTGTTAGTAAGGATTCCACTTGAAGAGACTCTGAGGTACAGTAACTAGCCTGCACAGGAATTGGGCACAGGCACTGCTAGTAATTTTTTAACTCCCCAGGTAATTCTAATGTACCCCCAGGAAAAAGAACAAATATGAACAAGGAACTGGCCACAGGTTTTGACCTGATGTGCTATTTTTTAAGTCAAACTCAATTATTTAGAAGGTGAAAGTTTTTCATCAGGTAATCTGCCACGGTCATCTCCATACAGGATAAAGAACCACAGAAGAAATACAATTTTCAGAAATAACACAAGACCTTTTCTTTCTTTTTTTTCCCCATGCATGTATGGCTCTTGATTAGTCTTACTGAATCAAAATTTTCTTGATATTGGGGCTGGGGATTTAGCTCAGCGGCACAGCGCCTGCCTGGCAAGCACAAGGTCGTGAGTTCAATTCCCGGTACCGGAAAAAAAAAAAAAAAAGTAAAGAAAAAATGTTCTTGATATTATTCCCATTTCTAAGTATTCTATATGGCAACTAATGTAAAACACTTGAGAGAGGAAGTTTTCTTTAAATGTCATGTTAATTTTACTAGGAAATGTCTGCATCTCTAATGAGACAGCAAGGTTAACACGAAAACACAGCAAAGAGAGAAGAACATTTGTTTTTGAAAAATCTAAATTTAACATTAAAAAATGGATCAGGAACAAACTTCAATTTCTAGTTTTGATCGAAAATAGAAATCACTTTTTATCTCTCAATATACTCCTACCAAATCTATTATCTAATTAGAAATATTTTTCCTGGGAAATCACTGTTGTCCTCTGACCTAAGTTTTAAACATTTTTGACAGGAGAAAACATGGCTAAACAGAGGAGGAGCCTTGTTCAGAGCTACTCAGAGAAATTCAACTAAAACAAAGAGCACTTACTGGATCGACCAAGAACAAGATTAAAGACTACAGGGGTGCACAATAAGTAGAACAGCTAGACCTTCCCCCAAGACTTGTGTTTAAAGAGGCATGGGAAATAAATAGCCTTGTACCTTGGGATTGTGCAGCCCCAGGCTATCCTGCCTGGGACAGGAGCAGAAAGGCACCCCATAGCACCCCCGCATACCACCCAAAGAAGATACAGACTACAGAAGAGGAGGGTGACTATAGCAGCTGAACCTGTAAAACAAAGAAGGGTAAATTAGCACCTGACCTGGAGAGAGGATTAAGAATTGGGACTGAGCAGTCTTGGGCTGCAACAACAGGAGAAGAGAACCAGACCATAGCACATCATCCCATGCCACCCTGCAACAAAAGACCTGAGAGTACAAAGACTTGCCAATGGAAGAGGAACACAGAAGGCTGAGCAAGGACCAGGAGGAGCAAAGTGCGCAGGGGACTGGGAACAGTGCACTTGCTTCTGTTTGAAAGCAGCATAACAACTGTGAGAGAGATGCTCCCAAGAGAAACAGGATAAGGAGTGAGTACACTGCTAAGGGACACACAGAAAGTACTGGCTGATGAATCTGGCCCCAGGGCCCCACATCTGGAGGCAAGGATCAGCCTCAAATCCAGCACAAACACTACTGCAGGCTTGGCAGTGTTATCCAGCAATTTTGGCCTCTCAGTGGATACCACAGGAATTTTGTTTTCTTATTCTATTTCTCTTCACCCTTTTTTTGCTGCACTGTGGTTTGTTTCCTGTTCACTTTCCTCTTTTTTGTCTTTTACCTATATTTTTGTTCTACTCTGTTTTCTTTAACCCTTTCCTCAATTTACTGCTCTAGACTTAATAATATTTTCATATGAGTGAATAGTCTCTCTAATTTTTCTGGCCAACTTCAATAATTCCTTGCTTACTCCTTCATTCTTTCTCTTCTGCCTTCTTCTCTAGTTTCCCAA